AAGACTCCCCATCATCCTTTGTATATACTACATTAACAAGCAGTCCTAAATTACGAACACAATGAAATGTGGTCAAAGAATAAAAGCAAGCATTTTCTGCAGAATTCTATAGATTTTGCAAGATCAAAAGGCATTTTGAAATTACATACAGAAGACATCAAGTGAGAAAATCCTCTTTAGTTGAAGAGAGCTGGGGAGTCAGAGAGGTTACCAAATATTCCAGGACCACTGCAAGATGGCCAAAAGACAGACAAACAAACAAAAATACTTACTGTCTCTCTAATACCACTTGCCATAAACTTCCGTTTATTGATTATCTTTACCGCAACTTTGTTACAAGTGCTCTTCTCAAATGCCAGTTTGACTTCTCCACAGGCACCACTAACACAAAAGCACAGCTATGTTAACGCTTACAAATACTTTTCAAAAATCTGTATAACAAGTACAGACAAATGAAATGAAAGCATTGGATTACACACAATTTGAGGCTGCTGCTTTCTAATTTTCTGAATATGGCATGTTGTCAAAACTTTCTCAGAAAGCATTCAATAGTTAGGAAGTCTATTTAAATAGCAAGGGATGTCAAGGGCCACCACCAAACATGCAGGAATAAATATGTAGAGCGACTAATCTGTCTGTACAAAGGGTACCAGTGAATATCAAGGACAAGCTCTGTCAGCATTTCCACCACACAAATTCATTTAAGAGAAGAGAAGCTAGTGAAGAGTTCTTTCAACACCAGACTGCACAAATCTGAAGAACAGGCAAGACAATACTTATATTTTTACTAAGTAGCAATTATATTACAGAAAGAAATCCTTGTAATTTGCACTCAGATTTGTTTCCACTTAACCATTCTCCTCCAAATTCTTCACTGACCATCTTTTTCCAAAAGATAAAAATATAGCCTCCACTTGAGATAGCCTCTCTCCTTTTTCCTGAAAACAGTTCCTTCCCCTTCTGTCTGAAGGCCTCAACAGTGATGTTGTAGAAAGCTATATTCTGACATAAAGCTCTTCCTTCTACTTCCAATAACTGAGTATATTAATATACAGGATTTAAAAACTTGTTAAGAATCTACAGACTTTGTTCTTTTCTAGAGAAAAAAAACTGGGTTTCACAATTAAGGGTAGGTTACAAAACCCAAGCCAATTATAGGAATAAAGTCAAAATTCCTGTTTAGGCTGTTGTAAAGAACAGGTTTACATAGGTGTTATTAATTTTTTTTTTTTATTTTTTTTTTTTTAAACAGCAGCTCAGTTAGCACTGGTAATAATTCAAGCACAAGGTACTGAAAACAGTTACAAAACTAATGCTTAATACTGCAGAAAGAAGGATGCTTACCTTCCCAAAGTCTTTGACATGATATATTTCTCTCTGAATTCTCTAGGAAACACCAACTGATCATCCACCATAAGATCAGAAAATACAAACACTAGGAAGATGAGTGGAGATCATTTTCCTGTTATTAACTTTAAAATTTTGTTACAACAAACAACTATGCTTCGTGAGCTTTTATAGTCAACAATATAACTAAGAAAACGCTGCCTGCTAGAAGAAAAACATAAATATCTAAAAAAGTTAATTGATGCTGTCAATGACATCAGCTATGGGTTAGCAAGGTGATCTTACTAAAGCTGACATCTTTGGTACTAACTTCACAATAGTGCTTGATCAATTAACACTACATTTAAGGACAAAATAGGCAAGAATTTCTATGTCACAGCAGGGAACAAAGAGAACTGACAATCAGGAAGACAGCATCTTAGTGGAAGGGCAAAGACAAAGAAATAAACCTCCAATGCTGCTAATTTTAAAGAGGGTTTTTTAATTATTATGCAGCATCTGTTAAGTACCTGGGGTTTTTTCAACTTCCCTTGAATAGTCCATTTGCCCTGTTCCCACCACCACATACACAGCTACTGAAGCACAGAAGTGTTTCAAAAATAGGAAAATGACTATAAAAGTTTCTACTCTAGTAAGGTGGTTCCTGATGCAGCTTCTTTTAAATATTCTTTTTTTCAGGTTTTTTTTTATATGGATAATTTTTATGCAAGTACTAAAACATCAATTCATAGCTGTATTTTAACAGCATTCATGAAGAAGCTCAGCTTGCAAGAAACATATTCAAATCACTGCAGAAACGACCCCTTGGTCAACACATGAAGAACCTACTTATGTTATAGTACATTTTACCCTTATTAGTCTGTATAGACAGTGCAATTTCAGAGTTGTGAGTCAGTGGAAGCCTCTTCCCTTTTCCAATGAGCTGTCTATTAACAAAAGTTCCATTTGCACTGTGGTCTTCAATGTAGGCAACATAGGAATTTTTTGGACCCATTTCCTCAAAGAGAAAAAAAAAATGGGAAAGATAACAGTAGGGAAAAAATTACTATGCTGTAAAGACATGACAGACTATAAAAATTTACTATCATTAGCTCAGAAAAATCGGATTACTCAGGTTATTTCATAAACCACGTTAATGGAGTATTGCAAAGAGTCTTGTTAAAGGATTCAACACTGAAGGTACTTAAACTGTGATCTCTTTAGGATCCACCTCTGCCAAAGTCAACCTTTTTCAATTATGCCAAGACAGAAAAAGACAGTCAACCTTTTCAGCACCTACCCTGAAAATTCGGAAATGCTTCTTGCTATAGTTTTGGTAGAAGCCAGTCTCAGACAGTCCTAGCTTAGAAAAACTATAATCACAGCTTTTGTCTCTTCCAAACCAGTATTCATCATTCACGCAGTCTGTAGAGGAGCAGGAGGTAAAGCAGAGAGAGAACACAAAATTGCAGGAAATTAACTGTGGCACTAAAGAATGATGCCAAATGGTAGTGAGCAGAATAACAAAGACAAGATTCTTCCTATATGATCAAGTTTATTTGTCTTGATTCAGACAAAGCGCCAAGCGCTATCAACATCTTGTACAGTATTTTAATAATTTTATCCTCTTCAGTAATAGTAGAGTTTTCAAGTTCACCTTCAGCGATGCAGAGACTCATATGATACACAAACAAAATAAATTATGAAATGGAAAAATGAAGCAAGCAACAAAGAATATGAATACCCCCAAATTCCTCTAAGTCCATGGAAGTTGTGTATCTCGGTACTTAGTATAAACACTGGGACGTAGTACGGAATAAAACATTATTGCAAAAGTTGCAAGATTGCACTTAAATTTGCATGTACTTAATTTGAAAATGAGAAGACACTGCTCTCTACCAAGCTGCTCAAAACTTTTCTGAGGTACTACAAATGAATCAAGAGGCTTCTTATAGTATACACATACCACAATTGCTGAAACCTTTTCCAAGTGCAAAGAGTCGACCCCAAGGCTGAGGAACAAGCTCTTCAGATTCCTGGTCCTCAGGGATCGACGGAAGTTCCTGAGTGGGAAGAGTGTCCAAAGAACTGAGGGTCCCAGAACTTGAGGAAGACTGACTAGTACTCTGCGACCCACTGGAAGAGGAACTGGTACCACTCTGTGACTGTTGGGCACCTTGAGACTGCTGTGCTTCACTTCCAGACTCTCGAGACATGTTGACTTCAAAGAGAACATTTAAAAAAACCCAATTACTACAGCAAAGTAAAATTTACAAACATTCACACACCGTACTATTAATGTCCAAGTCTGTTCTCAGCCTTTAAAGAAGTAAAACTTTCAACCAAAGTGTGCACATGTGGCTTATATGCAAATCCCTAAGAATTTTGCAAACGACGATGTTTTTCCTTTTAAAAAAGGATGTGGTGCTCCCTCTACTGTCTCTAAAACAACAGTTAAATCTTATTCCCAGAATTTTACTTGAGCTCTTCAGGGTTTATACTTTATTTCACAAACACACATGAAGCACTCTCTGACAAAGCATCCCCACACAAAGCAGTAACCATTGCAGCTCCCCAAACACAAAGGGAAAAACTGAAACAGGAAAAATAAGAACTATAAAGTTAAGTACCTTTTCTTGATGCTGAAAGCACCCAACTGATTTATCACACAGCAAGCCAAACTGGTGTTTTGGCCGAATATTCCTTTAATATAGGTTATAACTCACGAGTTGTCACCTATCTCTTCCACGCAGGTTCCGTATTTATGAAATAGCCACACCTATATGTAATGAATGTACAAAACTCTGCCAGACTCAAAGGTACACACCACACCCCTAGCAGCTGCTATCAGACAGCAGCAAGAAAAGGCAGCAAACGGCATCTACCTACCCTGTTAGGACAGGGGAATGACAGCGCTATCATGCCTTCCTCCCCACTGAAGAAAAACACAACCCACCGGCCAACTCATCTTTATAGCTGGCTTTCTCCAACAGCATTGGTGTTCATTGTGCCACGGGGCTACTGTAAGTCCATGAGCCTTCCCGGGGTCACTGCCATCCTTTGGGACCCCCTGCGCTCACCTGCCTGCCCGCTGTCTTGGCTTACCAGCGTATCTGGGGTTTTAAGCTGGTTGCCACCCAGCTCCACGTATAATCCAGTCTACTTTAAATCTCTTTACCAGTTTGCTACATTTCATTATCGGCCATAAAAACGTATTGGCACCCTAGTTACTTTCTGCGTCCCTTTTTTTACAGAGGTGTTCACAAACGCAGGCAAGGCCCGCAAACTCCCACAGGCGCAGCCCCCACAGCGCGGGGTCCGTCAGGCGGAGAGAGAGCAGGCAGGGAGGAGAGGGCAAGGCAGGGCCGCCGGCCGAGGGACGCCAGGCAGCAGGGCCGGGCCGGGCCGGGCCGGAGGGGACGGACCTCGCAAAAACCAGCGCCCGTTTCAGCGGGAGCGGCGCCCGG